TATATATATTATAAGGATTTTGGGTGCTGATATATCATTTTTTTAATGGTCGAAAGTCATACTTAATGATTTATGTGTACATTGTTAAGTAGAAATTTAATATTGTTGATCTTCCTCACCATTTAAAATATTTTTGGGTGTGCTGAGATTGGGGGTTTGTCGAGTTACAAGTTGTTAGCTTCTGAAGTTAGCATTAATTCTCCTCGTTCCTGATTTCTTCTGGAAATCACAGACGTTCAATTGATTGTAGTTGCCTTTGAGTACCCAGGATTTGGTATATTGTTTCCTTTTTGGTGTCGATGCTTCTAACTGCAGCATCTTAGAAACAGGGTAGTTAAAGATGGAACATATATATCAGGAATTAAACATATACCTTTTATCAGACAGTCAGGAGTGATAAGATTTGCTATAGAGGCCAATTAAAAGAGTCTCAGCGATGGCAGCAATGTAACCCTTTGTAGTGAACTGAACTTTGCGATAATAATTAACTATTGTTTGAGCGTGAGAAATCAGCTTTACTATTCGAGAATCGTACTGGCATAATTAGTGTGTCATGAAAGTTATTTCGAAAATACATGTGCATAGAAGAGAAGGGAAGAGTATACTTGTGCATTATGAGTAGCATTCGTTATAACTGCTTAAATATATGCCAGTGGACCGCTTTCTTCACTGGCTTTACTTGGATCCACTCTGTTCAATTAGCATGTTTCTGTTTGATCAGTTGTCATTGAACTTTACAGATTTTATTTGAGCTAATGGCCAAGGGTGGAACTGTCAAGGGACTGATAAAAGAAAAGGATTTGGTTCAGGTAAGCTGGCTTGCAATATTGCAAGGACTCTAGTTTATTCCTCTTGTTTCGAATCAATATAAGTCAAATGTCTTTGCTGTTCCGTTGAAGAGCTGTTAAATTATCTATAGAAATGGGTTCTTTTAAATTTCTAAACCATATAATTATCACCTTTCATCATTTACTACGTCTAGTTATCCTCATTCTGATAGGTAGAGTTAAAGTCATAGACCATATTACCTGACTTGTAGTCGTTTAGAGATCCTTTGATTAAAAATGAGGAAGCTGATCATGACACAACTACAACTAAAGATACTTGAGGAGGAATATACACCTCAAATAGACATCCAGCCAACTTCAGATTGCCAGAAGATTATGTTAACTAGGTTGATGCTTAGTGTTACTTCCAAGGCTTAACGATTTGCATAACAAAACCCTATTTATAACAAGTTGAGATGAAAATTGAGGTATTATTATGGTATAAGCTTTAAAAACCTAATGACTAAATTATTATTATCCCAGCTTTGTAAAAGCCTCAGCACAACTCTGTTAGTTTGACTGTAAGAACTTTGTGCAAAATCTACTTTAATTGGCATTGATAATTGCCAAAATTATCTTCTGAAGCGTGTCGAGCTGTGTGTGCATGTTTTTCGATTACACTGCCTTGAATAGGGATTTCTACCATGAGCTATCTTGTCCGGAAACAAATCTTGACCGAAGTGAACTATCTATAATTCAGACTGACTGTCCTTGTGGTAATGTTTTTGAAGTTATTTGATCTAAAGAAGTGTTTGTTGTTGTCGATTTACATGACTGGCAATTGGAAACTAGTTAGGCAACTTGCATACACGTTATGAAAGGAATCTGATGTACTTTTCTATTTTTGAATAAACAGATTGTTGACACTGCGGAGATTGAGAAAATGGTAGATAAGGTGATTGCAGATAATCCAAAGCAGCTAGAACAATACCGTGGTGGTAAAACTAAATTGCAAGGTTTTTTTGCTGGCCAGGTATGTTTTCCTTTAGTTCTCCTTGAATTTTATTGTTTTGACATCAAGCTGACTAATATTTTTTTCCACATTTGTGATCACTAGGTGATGAAGGAATCGAAAGGCAAAGCAAATCCAAAACTTTTGAACAAAATCCTTTTAGAAAAATTAAATGCTACAAGCTGATGTTGGCTGTTGTCTGATCACGTACGAGCTCTGTTTAGTTCTTTCTTTTCCTGGTCAATATATGCAGTACTAGACCTTTGCTTCCCTCTCTTATCATATTGCTCATGTTCCATATGATGTGATTTCAGTGATTGGCTATTGATGCAGAAGCTGCATATTAAGTGGTCATCATCTTGGTATCTCCCAATTACAATTGTAAGTACCCGAAATGTGCTTCTAGATCGTTTGCTGTCGTCTGCACTGAGGAAGACAAATTTAGCAGAGTTAGGGTGGGTCATTACTTTCGAGATTTTTTTGAACTAGTTCTTAATAAGTACAACCTTGGTATAATTTCAAACTGCCAAGCTTCTGATTTATGTACTATCATCTGGAGGGAATAAGCTACTTGTTAATGCAATTGTAGCTGCTTACTTTCTTCCTTAAAGTGTAATTAAAGTATGCAGTTTTTTATGGATTCAACGTCATTTCCATATTTCTGGTGATGAAGCTATTGTTCTAGATATTTTTTTTTCCTTTAAATATGCGTGATGAGATTGAGAAGCTAACGTTAAGGTTTGCAGTTTCTACTCTGGTACTGTTTGAAAGTCATGTTGAGTTATATAACGAATTTACAGTCCTTGCTTGTTGCCCCTAGCTATTATATGAGAGTTGATCTAAGCTAGCGAATTTCAAGAATCTAATTTAGTCGGGCCAATGAATTTCCGAAACTAGATGCATGAGCATAAAAAGATCTTGAGAACCCAATTTGCTTCTAAGAAAACATGATTAAGATAAAAAAGATGCAAACAAAGTTCTTCAAATAGTCGAGAATTTGCAAGTTGTGGTTGTAGCCAAGCTTTCCTGAAGGCTTAACTTTCAAAACTGGGACAATCACTTGTAGGATGCATCTAATACATAGCGAAATATTATCTCTTAATAATAAGTTAATGACGTATTTTTCCTTTTCTTCCCCCCATAATTTTTATTCTTCAAATAAACTATTAAAATTCTAATTAAGTATAGTATATTTTATCGTAAACAGAACAAGTTGTATGTATGTATATATGGAGAACATAGAAGGTCAAAAGTTTGTTACCCTTTCAACACGAGAGGTTGATATGCATTTGGTCTTTCTAATGGCTTTTTCAGACAGTAAGAAAGGCATTAAGTTTAGGAATCACAATTTTTTTTGCATAGGAAACTACCCTTTTAACAGATATACATGGGTATCATATATATACGAGAAGCCTAAAAAGATGACAGCCTCATATTCTTGTTTTCTTCCTTGTTTACCGTTCCTCTACCATTCCCACAAGCCCTGGTTTTATCATTAGGAGAGAACCAACGTTGGCGGTGTTGGTGGAGGCGGGTGGTTCACGGCTGCGGTTGCAGTTGCGGTGGTAACTAATGGCCAGAGACCATATTATGGCAGATGGAAAGAACTCAACACGAAAAGTAATGGTGGTAGCCGATCCAACTCGTGAATCAGCAGCCGCCCTTCAATACGCGCTCTCCCATGCAGTCGCGGAAAATGACATGTTGATTCTTTTGCATGTTGGTAACCCTAATGCATGGAGGAATCTCCTTGGTTCTATCATCAAGAAGCCATTGCCAAACTCAGCTACATCTTCGTTCTCGTCCACGTCCACGTCCACGACCTCTCTACCCTCTCAATCTGAAGAAGGAAGAGGCATACACAATAATCCGTTCGGTGCTTTCTTTAAGAAATCACTAGCATCCTATGCATCACCACCGTCGTCGTCCATGCTCTCCAATGTGGCGGAAGACGGTGGTGTTAGAGGATGCGGAGGAAAGGGATACATGGATTTTCTTGGGACAATGAAACATGCGTGTGAGGTTGCGCAACCTAAGATAAAGGTTTGTACAGAGACGGTGGAAATGGATGGCAATGCCAAGGAAAAGGCTTCTATCATTCTTGCTAAAGCTGCATCCCTTGGTATTGATGTCCTTGTTATAGGTCAAAGAAGGAGTCTTTCTAACGTAATACTTCGGTGAGTTTGTAATCCTTCCACACATTAGCTAATTCAAAATGAGAATTACAAGAACTATAAAATATGGTAATCAAAGTAATAATAGCCCCCGAGCTATGGTCAAGTGGTAAGTGTGTAGCGCGTGATGTATGGTAGATGTATATTACGAGTTCTAATCATGACACGTGCTATCTAAGTGGAAATAGGTAGAGGAACAAGCACANCCACACAACATCCTTTACTTCCTTTCTCTTTCTTGTTGAGTAAATTGTAAATCTTGTATTTGTGTGGCCAGGCCAAGACGAAGTGTATCGCTAAGAGGGCTGGGGCTGGATATGGCAGAATATTTGATTGAGAACAGCAAATGCACCTGTGTTGCAGTACAGAGGAAAGGCCAAACTGCAGGATACCTTCTCAACACCAAAACTCATAGAAATTTCTGGCTCTTAGCATAATCTTAATTATGCATGTTTAAAATAGTTTCTTCATTTTCCTATGTCCAATTATAAATGGCTCGAACTCTACATCCTTCTCAATTTTATTTGGTTATCTACAAAGAGTATTGCTATGTCAATTTTGGGGTTGAAATAGGAAATAGATGTCATTTTATTCTGTTTTAGTCATTGGGAAGATTATGCTATCGGGGGCGGATTTATGGGGCGGAAGGGGGTTCAGCAGAATCTCCTTCGCTGGAAAATTATACTGTGCATATAAGGCAAAATTTGTTTTGTGTTTCTATAAATTATATGTTGAATCCCCTTGACACAGCCTAAAAGCGTATCTCAGTGATCAAGGGACTTCAAAACCTTTGTGAGGTTGCTGGTTCTATTCCCTCTGGCCACAATCTTTTTTTAAAAAAAATCTTTTTTGAAACCCCTAAGCAGAAATCCTGCCTCCGCCATTGTATGCTATGCCCAAGTGCAAGAACACAACAAGATTGTACATGCATTCTCTGAAAGATTACTGGGCATATACTGTTTATCTATGTCTACAATACCAAGATAAAAAATATATAACCAATGGGGTAAAGACCAAAGATGAAGGGACCAAGGCAAGCTGTGAATAATAGAAAAAACAAAAGAACACAAAACTATGTTATTGTAATGCTGTACCAAGATATGGAGCTTCATAGATGAAATTGCATGTAACAAAAAATGTACAAAACAAAAAGGAATTCAAAGTTCATCATGCATTGCTTGTTCTAAGGGTACATTTAACTCAGGTGCAGGATTCATCTGAACCTGAGCAACATTTGCACCTTCTCTACCAACTCCGGGTACTATCTCCACCTGTCCAGCTGTACCAGCCTTCACAGCTTGAATTAGCTTACGCTGCAACTTGAGCAGGCCAATACGCTTTGACACCACATAAAGAACGGCCAAGGAGAAAATAACAAATCCAACAACCAGTATCACCCTGCTCAAAATCGCGTTAGTGTTGCAATAAAGGTTAAATACATTTTTAAACAACATACTAACTAGCAGGGAGAAGTAGGATACAACAAAATTGAGAGTAGAATTGCAAAGAAAGGTCAACGTTATTTTATAAAAGTCATTGTCACATGATACCTGTCCAGAACGTCCTGCCGTTGCATTGTGGACAGAAGGCTCCGCGTTCTTGTTAGCAAGGAGCGGTGGCCTTTGTATTCACTCTCAGCTTTCGTTAATACCCCTGTTGATTCATCTGCAGTATCCAGACCGTGTACATTGTCATCTAGTCTCAACTTACATTCCACATTCAGGATATGAAGAATACGGTCCAAAAGTCATAAAACCGACTACCAGACTCGTCACATTGGATAGTAAATGCACATGTTGTAAAAGTAACCATGTTGTTGTCATCTTTCAAGAGGTGTATCTCTTGAACACGCCTCATCAAAGAAACCAAACCGAATCATGTATAGCATACCACATTGGATGGGACAGATCCATCAAGCAATGTAATGAATAACTTCAATGTATTTTCTGGTCAAATTCTGGTTACATTTTTCCTTACGCCCATTAAGCTTTTATGCCGCAAACAACAACAACAACAACAACAACAAACCTAGTGTATTCCCATAAATGGGGTCTGGGGAGGGTAGTGTGTACGCAGACCTTACCCCTACCTTATAGAGATAGAGAGGCTACTTTTACGGTGAGGTAAACATATTTAAGTGCACTTAACCTAGTACATAACCTGGGTGATCAGTCAAATAATACAACAAGACCTAGCTCTAAGTAGAGCTTTAATTAACCAACAAAAATGGCATATATCAGAAATTGAGGTTTATGACGTTTATTTTCCACATTACTTCAGAAGCATAATCAAAAGTAACAGAAGAAGAATCTATTCAGAAGCAAGCAGGATACTTGTCAAACCGAATATGTTTTCGCTGTAATTACAAACTTATTCATCCTATAGAATGTTTGACACACTTCCTAACATTATGTCCAGAAAGAGGCCCCATTATTTTTGTTGCATGGCTAGAAAAACTGCAGTTCTTTGATGTTTCTGTGGATATAGCACCATTCTTAAAGAAATATCTTATATACCTAGGGATGTCAAACGGTGCTGTGCGGTGTGGTGTGGTTGCGGGGCAAACCCACATAAACCCGCGAAGATTTCAACCTGCGCCGCCCCGCATCGCGTAATTTGTTGTTTTCAACCCACCCTGCCCCACATATACCCGCACCCGCCCCGCACCGCTTAAATTTTCTTAAATTTTTTTTTTTGAATAATTTGATAGTAAAAAATGAGATTCATAAACATCTTTTTCATTTTCCAGAAATAGTATTAATTTAATTTAAACCCAAGTCCTATACAAGCACCTTTCTAACAAAATTAAAGCGACAGTGTCTTGCAGTTGTTACCATATTCAAGTCTTAGGTTATCTTCTTCTTTTTTTCATTAATGGTTTGCAAGTTAGGAAGACTTTTCTAAATTAATGAGTTTTCCGTTTAAGTTTTTGTCTTTTAATTACAATTGCTATAAGCTTGGTTGTTGTAACATTTTTCATTCATGTTGCAATGAGTCGTTTGAGACTTCAATCCCCAAATCATCAAGAAAGGAAAAGTACAAATAGCTCTAAGTCCATCTTATTTATAAAGGTGAGAAACCATGTAACCTAATAAGAAAAATAATACATAGTACGACACTAGTAGACTGTTATAAGCATTAATGTATAATTTTGAATCAGTATGTGTTTCTTGGTCACACCCGCGTCAACCCGCACCCGCCCGCAAACCGCAAGATTTTTTTCTAAAAAACTTTAAACCGCCCCGCACCCACACAGTCACAAAACCGCCCCGCCCCACATAGGTTCAAACCCGTACCCGCACTGCCCCATTGCCATCCCTATATATACCCTTCAAAAAGAAAAAAGGAAAAGGGGAAGGAAAAAAAAAACTTTCATCTCAATATGAACTTTTTCTTAACCATCCATTTCATGCAATCAAAATCTTTTTATGAAGTAACAACGACTCAATAAATAGCAAAAGAACTAGGGAAGAAAAGAAAAATGTCATCTGAATGAAGCAACATAAAGTAAACTGATAATAAAGATTAAAGACATCATGCCAAGAGTGAATGTCATTCATAAACATGGAAAGGTACTTACCAACTGTCATTAGAGTGCTTGCACTTCTTTCAACCTCCTGTAAACATAGTATAAACGACAAGAGAACAAGCAGCGTTATGCAACACACAAAGCTCAAAAATAATAATATGAGTAAAAAGAAAATGGGTCTTAAAATCAAGCAGATCAAAATAGAAGAAAGATGGCAATAACCTGAACCATAAGTTGGCGAGTGCGGCGCAGGCTCTCCGTAATGCTTTCAGCTGCAGATGTCATTCCAGCTTTTGTCCTGGAAAATACATAAATAGTTTAGATATATGGCACCTCAGTTCAATAGAAAGAAACATTTTGATACTTCTTCCCCACGAAAACATAGCTGCATGAATTTTTAAAGAAGATATAACCACGGCAGTATAACGACTTAAAAAGCACCACGTACTGTAGATTTCGCCTGCGAACTGTAGATTCTTCTCCACCTCCCAACAGAAGCTCCCTCTGACATCGTACGAAGGCAGATGTCAACATGACATCTTTTGTAAGTATCAGGGCCAAAAGAGGAGATATTGCAGGTAATAAATTTCCATGTGTTTGACATCATATCAACAAAGATGACAGAATGATTTCTTTTGTGAGTATCAGTCACAAAGAAGGATAAATTGCAGGATGTTTCGGAAATTAATAATTCTGGCATGCTAAACAGAATCTCTACACAAATATACAAATTACCTCTTCTTGGGCAGCTTTCCTCATGTTTGCCTTTGCTTGTAAATTAGCATTTCTTAAACTCAACCTCAAGCTGAAACAGACATTTAAAAGACAATGAAGGAAGAGGAAAGCATATGGTAGTAACTAATTTCATACATGCAAAAGTGAGAATAGTATCATGTCGTCCTCCCACCATGATCATGGTTAGTGAGTAAAAAGTTTAAATATCCAGTGGAAGAAACTCATGAAGAGCCCAAACCTTACACAGAACATGATACCCAAATAAACCTATAAATAATGAACGAAACAACTTTTCCAAAAAAGCATATATTATTGATTCCTCATCTCCTGGGATGGAGCTTTTTCAAGAGGACAACAAACAACTATTCCTCGATCCCAAACTAGTTGGGGTTGTTTATAGGAATGCTCTATATCAATTTCGCTTCGAACCCATTTCATTCCAATATCTATCCATATTCAGACTTAATGCAACTGTAACGAACAATAACAAAAACCTAATTGCCAACTAGTTTTTTAAGTATCACACATATGGATCCTTTACTTGGATTTTTATGTTGTTAGCTAAATGTGCATTGATTCTAAGAGATTGTAGGTCTTTCCACACACCTTGCCTCCATGTGATTTTGGATCTACCTATCCTTTTTAGCAACATTAACCACCATAATGTCACACTTACGGACTGTAAATTCGGAGACCAACATAAGAAATGACAAAAACATCTACACCGCCTCTCTTAATTCATCCTATATGAGTGCTACTTGCATACTTTATTTGATGTGATAATTTCTCATCTTATCGGATCTTGTATTACTGCACATCTATCTTAATGTTCACATTTTTATGATACAACTTATGGATTATGGATATGTTGGCTCTTAGAAGCCTAGCATTCACACCCATATTAAGACATGGCATCTTTCTTCTCCAAGATTAACTATCCAAACAGACAAGTATAACGTACACAACGTACAGGTCAGCGTATGATTCTTGTAAGGCAAAGCTACCTTTGGATTTGGGTTTTCCAAGATTGAGCCAAAGACTGAGTCTTTACAACTTGATCATCCAAAGGGAGTTGTGGGGCTAAGAGATCAAGCTTGAATTGAAGTGATTGAAGCAGATTCATTCCATCTTGAGCAACACCATTCAATCTTGGGAGTGAACTTTTCTCTTCTGCAATTAATCTTGTCGATTTGCCATATTCTTTAATGGAATTGATGTGTTGTTGGGTCTGTTTGTATGTTTCTTCAAACTCTTTTTTCACTTTTTCTACTTCCTCCACCACCTCGTCCATTTGGGGGTTTTGCAGAGTTGAGTCCTAGCTCTTTTAGCAAAGAATTTTGGGAATTTTGGGAAAAGAAATTGCGAAGAAGACGAAAGATCCAAAAGAAAGTTTTGTTTAGTTCAGGAAAACGAAAGAAAAGATTACGTCGCCTAATGAAAAAAAATGTATTTAGGACTTTGAATTAAACTTCATATTAGTAAATAATAAATAAAACTTTTGGCAATAAATCCTAAGGTATATTGCAAATACATGGTTAATATCTCCTTAACTTAAATAATTAAGGTATATTGAGGTTCGTACTAGAGCTGCTTTAGAGGAGTCCTATATCAAATTGCAATCTCGAGAGTGAGTAATAATTGAACCTAAAAATTCAAAAATAATCAGATTTATAAGTTTTAATTGAAAAATAGCTACAGTTTCAAAAGTAATCAAAATTTAGTCATTTTTGATGTAAAGATAAATCTGAACGAAAACACTGTTCAAAATCCGAAAAATATTCCAGCATAATATACTGGAGTTTCAGTATAACTACAACATAATATGCTGGAGTTCGAGTATAATATACCGGTCCAACATAATATGCTGGAAATTGATACATAAGTGCTCCAATCTCCAGTATATTATGCTGGAACTTTTCGCGTGTTGCAGTTCCGGCATAATAGGCTGGAAGTTCATACACATGTGTACCAATATCCAGTATATTATGCTGGAACGGTCCGTGTTGCAGCAAAATAGTGGCTATTTTTTAATGACTTTGCAAACGCGGCTATTTTTGAATTATCAGTCCGAAAACGTACTAGCCCGTACTATTTTTACCCGATAATAGGTAGATAGGGTGAACTACCATGGACACAATAAAATCAAACCTTATTCTGCACTCCCTCTCGCCGGCCTAAAATAATTGGATTTAATGTACTCAAACAAACAAGAGTATTGTTTCAAATTTAAAATATTTTTATCACTTTATTAACTCTAACCATGTGATTTTTGTTTCAATCAAATTCTTAGTTGGGCCTTGCGACAAACAAGCAGATTCTCAGACTGAAGAAGCAGTAATTACTATTGTTGAAGTCCAACATTTGGAACAACCTCAAGCTGGTGCTTTCTATAAAATTTACCGGCACTTTTTCAGATACAAAGAGTATTTTTATAAGTTTAACTTCACAAACAATATAGCTTCATGTAGATAGAATTGTAGAGAACCATGAGCAGCATTTGAGAATTGTGTTTCAGACTCTGAAAGAAAGAAAATTTTATGCTAAGTTCACCAAGTGTGAATTTTGATTTCAGCGTTCACGTGGCAAATCTAATCATATACTTGTTCGTGAAAGGATTGTTACTACATACAAATTGACAAATTTGTAATCGCATACATATATAGCTACTATGACTTTTAAGTAATAGATGACTTGTAACTTCTCAAACATTAATGTATGGGTCAAAATTACCTTTGACATGATCAAACCATGTTAACATTAAAAAAGCACTCGTGGACTGCCATGTGTCGCCAGTACGACTTCGATAAAGGCCTGCCCGATGTCGAAGCGATCTCTTAAGAAAATGAAGGGCAGGGCCAATGAAGCTGTTGAAGACCAAGGTCGAAGAGTCGGCAGAGATCGAGATCGAAGAATCAGTGAAGATCAGAGTCGAGGTCGAGCACTCACCGTAAATAGAGTAAATAACGACTAATTTTAGGATAAGACATCAGAGGAAGAATATTCTAATGGATATTCTCTGAACCTGTACTATTAGGGTATTCTAGGTATATATTCCCTATAAATAGAAAGAGACAGAAGGATATGGGACATAAGATATTCATTTGTAAGAAAACACATTGACTTTATAGAGAGAATATGCTTTATTGCTAGCACACGAAAAATACCTTTTTACTAATATCCTTGCATAACTTTTCCACTAGATCCAAGAACTATTGGAACATTCGAAGGCTCATCATTCATTCATCATTATCAGAAGGAATATCCACAAATCTCACCCTTTTTTTTCGGGTGACTCGCATGTTCTTATTTACATAAATGTCATTCATTGCTATTTATTATTATTTAATGTTATCTTCCACCTTTTGAATCGTTGAATATTATTAGTGTTGTCCACATTCATTGCCATTCGGTCAAATATGCATATTATCTACTACAAAATCGATTATTTTGTCTTTTGGATATTAATATTAGCTAAGATTGACTCTACTTTATTTAAATCTAATCGGTAGAACCCGGATCTAAATTTTGGGTCAAACAGTTTGGCGTCGTCTGTGGGAATTTCTTAGCTAATCTTTTAGTTTCCTTTAGATCCACAACTCACGTGAATTGCTAACCTGACAAACCACATGGTTTTTCTCTTTCTCTGCACGTACGGAAACTTACATGGCATGTAACTAAGGAGAAGGATTAAAGTGACAGGTGACTTCCCTGGCAACCTCATTGTAACGACCCGGCCGGTCATTTTATGTATTATAACTCCGTTCCCTTATTTACTGCTCAATTTATACCTTACAGTTGATTTATAATTTATCGGATTAGTTGGTTCAGGTCCGGAAGGATTTCAGAGTGAAATGAGACACTTAGTCTCATAATTGAAAACTTAAGTTAAAATAGTGACCAGATATCGACTTATATATAAACGACCCAGGAATGGAGTTTTGATGATTCCAATAGCTCCGTATGGTGATTTTGGACTTAGGAGCATGTCTGAAAAATTATTTGGAGGTCCGTAGTGGAATTAGGCTTGAAATGCCGAAAGTTGAATTTTTGGGAAGTTTGATCGGGGGGTTGACTTTGTGATATCGAGGTCAGAATCCGATTATGAAAATTGGATTAGCTTCATTATGTCATTTATGACTTGTGTGAAAAATTTGAGGTCAATCGGACTTGATTCGATAGGTTTCGGCATCGAATGTAGAAGTTGGAAATTTCATAAGACTAAAGTTTCAAGTGAGTTCGCACAAGATCTAACTTCAAATGAGTATAACTCTCATGATACGAAGTGTTTTATGTTGTATTACCTATCAAATGAAAGATCTTTGAGTCTAGTTTCTAACGCTTCAAACCGTTCGTCATTTGGACATTCCTACAAGAAGTTATGACTAAATTACCAAAGACTGGAAAAATATAATTCTGCGACCAATTATGCGATCGCAAAATAGTTATGCGATCGCAAAACTGCTTCTGCGACCGCAAACTGGTCGCAGAATGGACCAGAAGAGCCCAGTTCTGGGCACCGATTTTGCGATCAATTTTGCAGCCCGCATACCCATTCTGCGGTCCATTATGCGACCGCAGACCTGTTTTTGGAGGGTTAATTTTTCTATTTTCATAACCCGATCCCATTTTGATAAATAGGCTTCGGGGCAATTATCTGATGGTTTTAGAGAGAAGTGAGAGTGTTCTAGAGAGAGAAAGTAGATGAAGTGTCTTGTTCATCAAATTCTTGTCCAAGCCTTGAAATCCAATGAGAAATCCCTCAAGTTCTTCATCAAAGAGGTAAGGTTCTAACCCCTAATCTTCAATTTCGAGTTTGGGTAATGATAGGTAATTAAGAACATGATTCTTAGGTGTAAGAGTATTATTTATATGTATCAATAAGGTTTATGGAAAGAGTCTTGAGTTCAAATGGGTAAAGATTGGGTTGAAAATGGTAAAAATCTTCAATAACTTTAATTGAAGATTTGAGGGTCGAGTTGATGTCAGAATTTGGTGAAATTTATATGGTTGGACTCGTGGTTGGATATGTGTTCATATTTTGTAACTTTTGTCGGGTTCCGAGACATGAGCCCCACGAGCAATTTTTGAGTGTAATTTCGGATTTTGAGGAAAAAATTAGTATTTAGATATGGAATAAACACCTATAATTTGGGTTGACTGAATCAAATTAATTGTGACTAAATTCGAGCCGTTTGGAAGTTGTTACGCACAGAATGGAATTTATGGAAGCATTGTTTAGCTTGGTCGACATTGGATTCGGCTTGTTCGAGGTAAGTAACTCTTCTAATCTTGGAGCTGAGGGTATGGACCCTGAATATACGTATTATGTGAATTGTTTGGAGGTGACGCACATTCTAGGTGACAGGTGTGTGGGCGTGCACCGTAGGAATTGTAACTTGGTCAAATTCCATGGGACTGTATAGTTGAATAATCTGTTGGTATCCGTACATTCTCTACGTGTTAGAGAAAATTGAGCTGAGACTCGTATTAAAAATCATGCTTAGGCATATGTTGTTGTTGATGGTGCCCATTGGGGTCATGTTTGTGGTTGAATAATATGTTCAAATTGTAATTGTTCACTCAGTCATGTTTATTCATTTCATATCATACTTCAGTCTCTCTTATTTATTGTTGATGCATCATATCATTGTTGTTGGGCTATTTTTCATGACATTGTGAGCCCGAGAGACTGGAGAGATTGATGACTTAGTGAGGCCGAGGGCCTGATTGTGAGGATTAGTGTGGATCGAGGCTGCCCGCCTGCAACATACTTTATTATTATGGCACGTGAGTTATTCGTACGGATTCTGATATGATATTATAGCACGTGAGTTATCCATGCAACACATGAGTTGTCCGTGCAGATTATAATGCTTGGGCTGAAGGAGCCCCTCCGAAGTCTGTATACACCCCCAGTGAGCGCAAGTACCTACTGAGTGCGAGTGCTGAGTGACTGGGAGGCATGAGTGATTGTGAGGTATGCCCAAGTGGCAAGAGTCATTGTGAGGTATGCCCGAGTGGCAAGAGTGATTGTGAGGTATGCGCGAGTGGCACGAGTGACTGTGAGGTTTGCCCGAGGGGCTGCATATGAGTGATGTTCTGCCTGAGGGGCTGTTTATGATTTTATCACTGAGTTGCATCGTATTGGCATGCACACATGACATACAAGCATAGAGATGCATTTTCCTCATGCTGTACAACAGCACATCATTCATGATTTCTCACACATTTTTGACAGATGGGCATAGTGATGTATTTGTTTTACACGGGTTATCCGGAAGGAAAAATAAAATATCTTATTTATTATTGAAAAGATTTTGGGAGAAATTTATTGTTTTCAAACTATTCACATTATTGGCAACTTCGGCAAACGATTTGGGTTTTCACTGATGTATTTGAAAGGAAGAACTATTATTTTTGAAATCATGATTTGACTGAGTATT